GCGGAGCTGCAAACATGAAGAGCGGAGACAATGACAAGGACCCGAGCGACGATCGATACCCGGGTCTATTCTACTTCGTGTCGACGCAAGTACCGGCTGGTCCAGAGAAGGATGAAGGCTTTGAGGAGCCAGCAGCTGTGGGGAAGGTGACCCTACACCCCCTGGACTATTGGGTGATTGATAGTGGCGCTACCTATAGCATGACACCTCGCCCGGACTTGCTCACCGAACTCGAGCCGTCACCGGTGAAGCATGTCACATCGGCTTTGGGGCAGCGAGCAGAGGTGAAAGGCATGGGCAAGGCCATGTTCAAGGGTGCTGATGGGAAGATGTTGGGCCTCAAGAACGTGCTTTGGGTGCCCAGCCTTGCTGCAAACCTGATTTCCGTGCGGCGGTTGGCAAAGGCCGGCATGGACACGAACTCGAAGGGAGCCAAGACCTACACCGCAAGGCTTGGCGATCGAATTCTTTGGGACCTTCATGAGGACAGGGATGTCTACAACGAGATGTGGCAGATCCCAGTGGTCCCTATGCCTAAGGAGAGGCAAGTGGCAGCAAGCATCAGCACCAGGGATGGAGCGGTCGGTAGCGACGATGCCGCGAACGGTCGCGCTAAGGAGAATGAGCTCAAGAAGAGCAAACCTGGAGGGACCAGCAAGTTCAGTGAACCTAAGGAGAGTGGTGCAGCAACCAAGGAGCAGCAAAAGGGTGAGGAGAACCCAGAGGCAGCAGCGGAGGAGGACTACGGAGAGAGTATGTGGGGCGCTATTGCGAGCGCGGCATTCTCCAATCCAACTTCGGCTACGGGGGAGTGTGATTGGCTCACCTTGCATCGGCGCATGGGGCATGTGGCCCTGCCCATCTTGCAGCAGCTAGTGAAGAATGAGATGGTTGCTGGCATACGTGTGAAGGGGGAGCCCGATGAGGTGCTTGGCTGCCCGACGTGCATTCAAGCCAAGTTCACCCGGTTTCCGTTCCCTAGTTCGGAGGCAACGGCAAAGGCACCGCTTGATGAGGTGGTGATGGACGTGGTGGGCCCCCTGAAGCTTGGAGCTGCTGGAGCTGAGTATTTTCTCACCATTGTCGACGTCTACACCCGCATGACTTGGGTGTACGTGCTGGCCAAGAAGAGCGACGTGGCTGAAACGTTGAAGACGGATTGGTTCCCGATGGTGGAGCGGCAACAAGACCGTCTAGTCAAGTCAATCCGCACCGATCGAGGGGGAGAGTTCCTGAGCAAGGAGTTTGGGTTGTGGCTGAAGAAGAATGGTATTCGGCACTCCCTCACCATGCCATACTCCCCTGCAATGAACGGCATCGCCGAGCGAGCGAACCGCACAATCACGGAGGCGGCACGCGGGTTGCTCATTGAAGCCGGGCTACCCGACTATTTCTGGCCTGATGCGGTGCGGAGCGCGTGTGTGGCCAAGAACAGAGCCTTGACTCATGTGGGAGCAGACAAATGGGTGCCCTATGTGGAGTGGCTAGGAAGGAAGCCAAAGGTGGATATGCTTCGGGTGTTCGGGTGCATGTGCATGGCGCTCGTGCCTAAGCATCTTCGGCACAACAAGCTTGGTGCCAAGGCGGTGTGGGCCGTGCACTTGGGCATGGCTCAAAACAGCAAGGGATGGCTTCTTCGGGACCCATTCACCAAGAAGTTCTTGGTGAGCAGGGACTGCAAGTTCATGGAGAACTTCATGTACAAGGATTGGAAGGCGGAGAATGAGGCGAAGATAGGCGTGCGGTTTGGGGAGGTGAAGAGTTCCGGTTTGGAGCATGTGGAGCTGCCTTTGGAGCTGAGCAGCGGCAGCACAACCACAAGGCAATCCTCCCTTGTGAATGGGGGAGAGGAGGCCAATGATGCAGAGGAAGAAGAGGAGGAGGTGCAGCAAGTGAGCGAGCGTGCACCGTCACTCCCTTCCCGTACTATGAGTGCTCCACGGATTCGAGCCACACCGCAGCAACGCCAAGGCCTTCAAGTCCCTGCAGCTGAGGAGGAAGGAAGGGGGAAGAGGAGAGTTCAACCCCCTAATAGGCTGACCTATGATGCGCCGGGAAAGCAGGGCAAGACAGCCCTGGCCGGAGCGGCAATGATGGTCGGAGACGACAAGGAGAGTGACTACGAGGAGTGTGCCTTCGCGTTCTTCTCTCCGGTGGAGATGCCGGAAGAACCAGCAACTCTCAAGGAGGCTTTGGAGAGTAGTGATGCTGAGGAGTGGAAGAAGGCCATGGAGAGTGAGCTGAAGAGCATCGAGGAGAATGACACGTTTGAATTGGTGGAGCTACCGGAGGGGCGTACGGCGATAACGTCCAAGTGGCTCTTCAAAATCAAGTCGGATGCCGACGGCAAGATCGAGCGCTACAAGTCTAGGCTTGTAGCCAAGGGGTACCAGCAGAAGGAGAAGGTGGACTTCAAGGAGCTGTTTGCCCCTGTGGTGAAGCCGACGACGCTGCGAACCCTATTCGCGGGAGCCGCCATCAAAGGATGGGTAGTAAAGCAAATGGACATCGTAACGGCATTCCTTAACGGCATCCAGAGGGGTTTGATGATGGTAGTGGCAGAGTGTGGAAGCTGAAGAAGGCCCTCTATGGGCTGAAGCAGGCCCCTAGGCAATGGTACATGAAGCTGCGCGAAGTGTTGGAGGGGATCGGCTTCACTCCCTCAACGGCCGATCACTCCTTGTTCATGCTTGGCGAGGGGGAGCAGAGGAGTTTCATGGTGGTTTATGTGGATGACATCCTCATTTTCTCACCCTCTTCTGACCTTGTGAAGGAGGTGATGCTGAAGCTTCAAGACAAGTTCAAGTGCAAGGCCCTTGGTGACGTGAGCTTCTACCTTGGGCTCCACATCGAACGAGATGTGGAGAAGCGGTGCATGCGGGTGCATCAACGAAAGTACCTGGAGGCATTGGCTGCCAACTTTGGGCAGAGTGAAGGCCATGTGGCTACACCCTTTCCCTCTGGGTTCAAGTGTGTGAAGGGACCAGAGGAGGAGAGCGTTGGTGAAGAGGGGAGGCGCCGATTTCACTCGTTGGTGGGCAGCCTCATGTATGCGGCGGTAAACACCCGACCGGACGTCGCGTTTGCTACCGGGCAGCTGGCTAGGGTTGTGCAATGCCCTAATGAGGAGCAGGTAGCAGCTGGAATGAGGGTGGCCAAGTATCTTGGCCAAACACCGACCGTTGGGCTGCAATACTCGGCGGCGGCACAAAGGCGCCAAAAGGGCGCGGATGGTGTTGAACCCGGGCGTTTGTTCCTCACCGCCTACTCGGATGCTTCATATGCATCAGAACCAGAGGAAATGACAAGTGTGGGAGGCTTCATATGCTGTGTTGGTGGAGGCCCAACTGCTTGGGAGAGCAAGAAGCAGGTTGACCAAGCTTTGAGCTCGGTGGAGTCCGAGTACATGGCACTCTTCCGTGCCGTACGGGAGATTGTGTGGCAGCGGCGTTTGTTGGCTGAATTGGGGGAGGAGCAGCAAGGACCTACCCCACTGTACTGTGACAGCCAGGGTGCCATTGCTCTTGCTAAGAACCCTGTGTTGCATGGACTCACGAAGCACATGAGGGTGAAGTGGCATTGGACGAGGAGCATGGTAACCGCGGGTGAAGTTGAGTTGCGCTACGTGAAGACCACGGGGCAGCCGGCTGACATGATGACCAAGAGGCTGGTGGAGCAGCAGCATTGGAAGTGTTGCAAGCTGGCTGGGATGGCTCTGAACTGAGAGAGCAACATATCCTAAGGCCAACAATCCGAGGGGGAGTTTGTTGGTGCAACCCTACGGTTTGCACTCGGCTTGTTGTCCGTGTGCGTGAATGTGTGTGTGTATGGAATGGTATGAGGGCATGGGATAATATATATTTCATGCTTATAATTGTGTGTGAATGTTGAGTCATGATGTCGAGTGTGTGTGTCGAGTCAATAGCGAGTTATCGCTAGACGCGTGTTACGCGGTCGTTTGTGTCTCGCGCGCGGTTTCTATTTTGTCGTGCGCGGTTTCTATTTTGTCCTGTGTCGAACGTTCGGCGTGTCGCAGGTGTGTGCAGCACACCCATCAAGAACTCAAGGATGAGTTTGTGATGAAGAGCCCGAGCCTTGGTGTCAAGCCTCAAGTGATTTCGAAGCTCGCCAAAAAGGGTACACCTCAAGATATTGAAGATATTTACATTACTTTGTGTAGTGTAACATTTCACTTGGTGTAGGCCCTAGTGAAGGGTAGTTTCGAGACCCTTCGTGGTTGGGGACAGTGTGGCACTGTTACACATCACTGTACCTCGGCTCTTGGGGTTTGTAGGAGCTGGGAGTCATTCCCAACTCGTAACTCTTCCTATCTTGTGTTCTAAGACTATAGTGGCTGCCATAGTACCGTTCGTTCAAACCGACGCTGTGTCGTCAATTCTTTATCAAATCGTGCAATCTAAATTGCTAATTGTAGACGACGTGAAGACGCTCCAGATCCAATTTGAATCAGGTCATTTGCAGCTGTGAGCAGAACGCTATCAACGTTTGAAGCCGCTGTGCAGAAATCCGTCTGTGCTCTCTATCTTTCGTTTTAGGCACATTCAAGCCTATTGTGACTATAACACTGCTGTCTCTCATTGCATGTGTGTACCCTTCTGGCTTATCAATATACGGGCCATTAGAGAGAGAGAGAGAGAGAGAGAGAGAGAGAGAGAGAGAGAGAGAGAGAGAGAGAGAGAGAGAGAGGCACCTAGGCTTCTCCCTTAGCCTCCGTACCCACCTGCCACCTAGTATAAAGGCTCTAGAGCCTTGTTCATTTCCTCATTATTCATTCCAGCGGCGGTTTCACTCTCCAAACCGAGCGGCTCGCGCCGGCCGCCTTCGGCGACCGACGCTCAACAGCGCGGCCTTCGGCCGCGCGCTAGGGGACGGCAAGGGAACACACATACAAGTGACTATACGAAATGGCATACAAGCAATGGCAGCATCAACAACGGCCTAAGCAACAATGGCAACAACGGGGCAAGCGGAGCCCGGATCTACATCCATTGAGCTCCGAGGGCATGGAGAATGCCCGTCAACGTCCGCCACAGCTCACGGACCAACAGCGTACTTGCGCCGATCGTCGCGGCTCCAGATCCTGCACGCAAGTGTCGCCTCAAGCCCCGGACAGCCTCGTCAAGCTGTCCCACAGCCGCAGCGCCACCCTCTGCGGGCGCAGCCAACGCGGGCGCCAGCAGCTGTGCGAGCTGGTCCGCCGCGTCCAGGCAAGTCTCGTGCGGCCGGTCATGAAACGAGTCAGCAGGAATTGCAGGGAGGGACGAGTGAGCCAGCACCTGAATCAGCAGCAGCGCGTGAAGGCTCTCCGCAAGATGGTGCAGCTGTCCGAGCGTCGCCTCAGGAACACGGGTCTGCGGGGGCTGAAGTGCCACCGCCAAGAACGGAAGCGGCTCATCAGCAGCAAGATAAGGAGGGTACTGCGCCCCCGCCGCCCCCCCCAACAGTAGGAACGAACTCGACACCCGCCACCGGCGGAACGGGCGGCAGGCGAAGACGAGACCCAGGATCAGCAGCCGAGGCAGTAGGAGCAGGAGCCGAAGGGGCAAGGACAGGAGAGGGACGTGCAGCTGCTGGCGGAAGATCCACGGGAGGGATAGCCTGACGTGGAGCCACATGCGCCGGCGCGGCCCGCAGCGAACTACTCTGGTTCTGCGCTGCCCTCTCCTCGGGCACGGCCCTCGAAACCTCCCTCTGAAGATCTGCCATGGTCACAGGCGGCCGGTATGCCCCGCCACCACCACGCCCGCGGGGACCCCTCCAGCCTCTATGGCCACCAGGGTGAGCAGGCCACTGAGCCTGCTGGTGATTGCGCCGAGGTGATTCACGCCGGCGCCTTGACGACGCGCGCTCCTGGTGGAGCGCAGGAGAATGGGGGCGAGACAGGCGGCGGTCAGGCAAGGAGGGACGTGACAGCTGACCCGCCGGGGCCACCGGCGTCCCAGCAGGCGCCAAGGGCGCAACCAACGGAGCCGGGCCGGCAGTGGTGGCGGACGCCGCTTGCGGTGACAAAGCAGCGGAAGGCGCCGACACGGCGGGGACAGCAGCGGGCGGTGCAACAGGTGCGGCAGGAACAGGAACAGGCGGATCAACACCAGCCGCGACAGAGACAGTCGCTGGCGCCACGACAGGGGGAGCCAGGGGAACGGCGGCAGCAGCCGGAGCGGACGGCGCAGGGACAGGCGCAGATTCGGCAGGCGTTAACACCGCAGCAGGAACCGCGGGTGCGAGGGGAGGAGGCATTTCAGAGACTGCTGTCCCGGGCTTCGTAGCCGGCGGCGGCGGGGGTTTTGTCGCCGTGGTCGCCTTTTCGGCCACCGTCTGGGAATTGGCGGGCGCAGCCGACGAGGTGGCAGCGCGCTCTAGCGACGGCTCAAGCCCTCCGGAAATCACCATCCTGGAACCAAAGGGAGAATGGGACTAGGAGGCAGGTTGGTAGCGGAACAGGTGGGGGACCGGAGAACGGGTATCAAGCGGCAGGGCGGCAGGCTTTAAACGCTCTAGAAGCAGCTAATGACGAAGAAGAAGCTGCAGACCCTTCTTATAGAGAGGAAGCGATCCCCACGAGTGAAGACGGGGTTTCTGAGGAGGAAGAGGGAGCAAGGCAAACGGGAGGAAGAACAGAGTTAGGAACAAGAGAGCTGGTCTCGCATCAGCCGGAAGCAGGGCAGGGACCGTCAGATACTGATCGGACGGACGTAATTCCGACCGTCTCACAGAACGCGAGGTTGAATCGCTCTCGCCGAAACAGAACTGCCAACATCGGGAATGCGCCTCCGCCAGCAACCCAGAGAGCGCGCTATTTTTCACTAGAGGAGCTGGCAAAGCAGGAAGATAAGTTCGCCGACATTGCAACCTGGGACATGTCAGCCCTGTGTGACAGTCGACAACCGTCGCTGACTCGACGATTGCCGCCAAATCTATGCCAGCTGTTCTCGCTGGCGTTACTGACCCCGCTTCTCTACATGTCGCGTAACCCGGATTCGGAAGCTGGCTGGCGCCTGCTACTATTTTTACCCCGCTTGACGCTTCGCCAAACATCGCCAAGGCGCCCAGACTGGCCCCAAATCAAGGCCCGCCTCCGAGCCTTCCAACATGGCGAATGGAACCAGCTATACCAGGACGCAGTAAACGCAGTCAACACGCCACCCGCGTCACGACATCAGCCCGACTCGACCGGGGCCATCAGCCGAGCCGAGGGGCTGGCGAAACGTGGCAGCCTGTGGCGAGCTGTGCTGGCCCTCGAGTCAACACCGGTCTGTACACCAAGCCCGGAAATTCTGGCCGAACTCCACAAAAAGCATCCGTCAGCAGGGGACGAGACGTTGACATGACCATCGCCTATGCCGATTTCGCCAAACTGCTGGGGAGATGCAAAACGGCGTGGGTGCTGGACCATCTGGCATGACTTTCGAACATCTACGAGATGCCGCGGTAACCAACGCGCGGGTCAGCACCCATCTGCATGCCCTGGTAAATACATTGTTGGGGGGAAACCTGCCGGGCCCGGTGGCAGACCTACTGACTTCGTCGCGTCTCGTCGCGTTGGCCAATCCTGGTGGAGGAGCTCGACCAATCGCCATCGGCGAATGCCTGACCCGTTTGACTGCTAAAGCTGCACTGGCGGTCATGGGCGATGCTGCCCGCGAACATTTCTTACCACTACAGTACGGTGTAGCAGTGCCAGGTGGAGCCGAGGCGATGATCCACGCAGCAAGGGCCTTTTTGGACACACGCCCAACAGCCTGGTTCTGCAAGCTGACATCGCGAACGCCTTCAACACTATCTCGCGACAGGCCATTGCGACCGCGTTACAGGAGCCCAATCTCTCACCGCTGCAACCTTTTGTGCAGCTGACATACGGTAACCCCTCGCGGTTACATCTGGACGTCAGTTTTGAGAGCGAACCCCTGATAAGCGAACGGGGTGTCCGACAAGGGGATCCTCTGGGGCCATTATTGTTTGCGGCAGGGATTCACCCGACACTCCGCGAAACAGCCGAGGCCCACGCGGACGTGCTATGTTTGGCGTATGCAGACGACGTGACCTTCGTGGGCGAACATGTTGCTACTGTAGCTGCATTCAAAATTTTCACCTCGAAGCTGCAGCAGTTGGGTCTGACACACAACCCACAGAAATGCGCGGCATGGAGCAAGACGGTGGCAGACGAAACACGACTACCACCGGGAGTTCCGTTCAAAGCCGACGGGGTTCAGCTGCTAGGCAGTTACATCGGGCCGGCCAACGGTGCGGCCAAATTCCTAGCGGGCCAGCTGGAGGAAATGGCGAAACCCTTACCACTCATTGAGCGGGCCGATCCCCAAGTAGCCTCGTTACTCATCAGTCGCTGCATCTCACGGCGTGTCGCCTACCTCACCAGGACGACTCCCATCCATCTCCTCCCCCGAGACACCTGGGCCCAGTGGGGTCGTGACCTTCTGACCGCGTTACTTACCTCATGCGACATCCGTCTTCCATCGAGTAGGGACGAGCAAACACGGGTCTGGGCTTAGGCATCGCTGCCATCGTCGCTAGGAGGTGTCGGCATCTCAGACCCCACTATCGAAGGAGTCTACGGATTCGTAGCTAGCTTCACCCAGGCGGCACTACTTCTCTCCTCCCTCAATCTATACGTAGGAAACGCCCTCGCGCTAGCACGTCAGCACATGCTCCTGCCCCGGGATGACAGCACGCCGCTCCACACCTGGCTTGCGGAGTGCGAAATGGCCCTGCCAGGTGACGCGCGTGAGCTGTTAGAGAAGGAGAGATTGGAGCGTTCAGACATACGATTGCAGCACGCGCTGGCTCTTCAGGTCCACGGCAGTCGCTATGCGGTGCAGGTTCAGGCGACTAGGAAGATGGAGTTGAACCCGCTCTCGGGACATACATAGCGGATGTTTTCGCTCACGGGATATGGCACGGGTGATTGGCTCACGGCGATTCCCATAGCAGCGAATAGACGCATAGGGCCAGTGAACTTTGCTAATGCCGTCCGTTTCCGCCTGGGTCTCCCTTTCTCAACTCCCAAAAACTGTGATTGTGCGGACCACACTGCCATCACCGACCCCCCGACTTCCTAATCACCTGTTTAGATGCGGCACGGGGAAGCAGCGCATCAACACTCATAACGAGCTCAGGGACGCATGCATCAGCATGGCCCAGGACGCCGGATTTATCGTTCACAGCGAGTCAGCTACATACTGCCCCATCGAGGAACAAACAGCCAACTTAACGATGACGAACAGAAGCAGCGGGGCGGTCTGGGTGTGTGATGTCACGATCACAGACCCAATCAGCACGAGGGACCCGGAAGCACAAAAAGAAAGGGGATGGGCGGCAAGGGAGCAGGCCAACAAGAAAATCAAACACTACTCAAACAGACCAGAGACAGTCGGTTTTCTTTCCGCTGGCCGTAGAGACATACGGCTGCCCGTGTGTGGAATGTACCGGTTTTTTCTGAAGCTACTTGCAGACACAGCGGCTCGGCGCCACTTCAACGCTGACTCCAAATCTTATTATGCCGCCAAATTTCTGCACCAGTTTCGGCAGCGGTGGTCAGTGGCTCTTCAGCGGGCCCAATCAGTTGGTTTGCTGATCAAGTTGGGCGAGGCAGCGGCAGCAGCGAACCCACCAGTGGGTGGGATTGGGGAAAAGTTGCACCTAGGGGACTGCTTCGCAGTCCTTGAGCCCCTTGTGGAGTTGTAGTTTGAAGGTTGTTAGTGTTTTGTGTTTGTGTGTTACCTAGAACCTGAGATTATACCTTGCATGCTTGTACCTTCCTACCCTATCAATACACGGCCCATTAGAGAGAGAGAGAGAAGAGAGAGAGAGAGAGATAGAGAGAGAGAGAGAGAGAGAGAGAGAAGCAATCATGAGAAGATGATTATGAGAATATGTAGATGTTTACGGAACATGCATTGCATCAATAGTATGCGGAGTGTGTGAGACGACAAGTATGTACAAAAAAACAATGTGAAAGGATGGTATATCAGTCTAACAAGATTGTGACGCGACACAATACACAAATTAAAACACTCGCACCTTCGCAAGTGTTTTTTTGTCATTACCTAGAGAGCCACCTGTATGGGAAATACACTTTGTTGATATTTTGATCAATACATACACAGGAAAATGGTCGCTGAAAAATGATTCACCAACAATAACTTCAACATCAGATTTAGCAACATCAAGCCAAACATGATCAATAAGGGTATTCCGCCACAGCAGTCGACGATTCAGCACATTGAGTCATACTTGCATTCTCCATCAAATGGATCAAAAGCATTGGCATAGAAACTCCGAAATCAAAATTGATGTCACCAATTATCATAATATGTCGGGTCGAAGGAATTGCATCAAGAATTGATCGTAATGATTGATAAAAAGTTGCTTGAGACGAACGTGGATTACGGTAAAAGCATATTACAGATGTATTGGCATCAAAATGTATTCCAGGACAACAAACTGAATTTTATCGTATACCTTGTGAGACTGAGACATGCTTATTATTGAAGGAAATAGCATGCCACCGAAATCAGAAACTTGACGAAATACAGAAAAAATATTTAGTGCATCACCGTGCGTCTGCTCATGTGAAAGGTGCGTCTCAAGAATTCAATGAAATTAAATGATTTCATAAACATCATGTCATAAATGCAGTCCAATATGAACTTACGAACATTATGCAATGCGAAGTTAGCACGTGCAGGACGTGATGCGATTACGTTTAACACGAACATGAATAATAGGTGAGCTTGTCTTATGTAGACGTTCCATTCTCGTTTATTACTTCTGTGTGTAAAGTATTTGACTCTTCTAAGAAGTTTTCCCAAAACAAAGATTGCGAGGATTGAAATATACTTAAAGGTGCTCTGTCAGGTGGGGATCCCGCAACACGAAGTTCTGCGCCTCCAAGCCTGCAGCAGTTGCTCAAGAGTCGTCGCCACGTGGGAAAGATATTCGCCAACCCCCGACCATGTGCCGCTCCAAGAGGAGGACGTTCAAGCACGAAGTCGGACTAGATGTCCTAGTCCCCACCCCACACTTGTCCCGGTCTAAGGAGGGGACTACCATGTCTCACCGTTTCCACCACTTCTCGTCATCCTCAGGATTAGGTGCGTCGGCAGAAGCTCGAGAAGTCGGGCACGAGGGGGAGGGAATCGAGCAACGGTGAGCGTGGGTCCAAAGGAACAAGCGGATGATGACGCTGGGGAGCTCGGGCGGCAGAATGGCAAGGCCCAGAGGAGGGGTGAACGGGAGGCACGAGATTGTGCCTCGGCGGACTCCACGGTCGGAGGAAGGCGCAAGAGGAAGGGTTTGGGGGGAGGCTGACGCTGATAGCGGCACCGACAGCGGTGAGGGCTGGGACATTTGATGGGACGACACGACGGGACCCG